AGGACAATAGGCGTCGGTTGACAGGGGAGGATTCAAAGACAGGTAACGACTCTCACCGATACTGGGCTATAATGACTCAGTCATTAAGGGACATTGTTGGCCTTCAAAGGACTGAAACACCACCGAGGGGGATAAATATCTCAGGCTCAACTCCTGTCAGTCGGAACTGATGAAACCTCTTGGATGAGAGGTGAAACGTCTTCGATCTAGAAATCTAAGTCCAGTTGATTTTTTTCTAAGGTTTTTTCAGTCTCCAACAAAAATATACACACAAATAGTAAAACTTAAACTCAACAACAAGCATTACCACATAGGGAGGAGGTGGGCATTAGCATCATGATTAGACACAGTGGCAGTGAAACCCTTTCTGCAGTGAAAAGACAGGGTGTAGTGTACAACTGTGTGATCTATTAACACACTATTTGGAAGAATTTATTTTGATTTATGTGACTTATCTGTTTTAAATCACATTATTTTGAATCATTATTTCAGACAACAGAAAAGGAACATAATGAAGTATGTATAGAGCACATTTTAGAAAAGGTGTAAATATGTGAATAAATGTTCCACGAAATTGAAACTATAAACTTACTGTATAAAGGCTGTAAACCATTATAAAGCCTCATCCAGTTCTTTCAAACCAGGAACTCCGAGGGACGACTCAGACCACTTGAGTATATAAAAAATATAACCGTGCTGGTTTATTCAAAGAGTCACAGGCAAGAATTCACACTTCCAGTCCAGAGATCTTCCAACCCCCAGCCTGCCAAAGCAGCCCGGAAAACAGAAAAGACCCCGAACCAAGCATTGCTATACAATATTAATCCTTTCTGGGCTGTCGAACCGTGACGTCACCCGATAAGCAAGCCTTGCAGCTGCTATAACGTTTAGCCAAAACATGAGGAAAAGTCAAGGTGCGTGACTGTTGTTTTCGTGGTGTGTATCTAAAACAATTGGACATAACCTTACACATTAAGACAAATATTAAGACTAGCATTACAGTTGACACTAACAGCTCTTTTCCTGTAACCTTGACGTGCCTGCAGTCTGCACTGCAGGCTGAACAGTTAACAGCCTAAGCTAGTCACCCTGTCTGCACTAAACATTCCTAGACAACAAATCTCTGAATATCTATCTAACTAAAAAATAACCTAACATGTATATGTGTTATGTTTCGTTCACACACGGAGGTGAGTGAGCGAGAAGAAAAAGGCGGACCCAGGTAGCCGACTTCGGTGCAAGCTGTGATTTATTAATATACAGTGCGGTGATATATACAAACAAAGAGTCCGTGGTTACTGAAAGGCGAGGAGTAGCCGGGTGTCGACCAAGAGCAGGAGGTGAGGAGTGAGGAGATGGATGGTTTGGACGAGGTGGGCCGAGCTGTGTGGTGGGATCACTCCTTTGCTGGTCGGTGGTTGAGAGGCGGCTACTGAAAGGGCATAGAGAGACATTGGTTATGGCAGAAACAACTGGTGACTGTGCATTGACCTGCCTGGGAGGGAAGAGTAGAGCCACGGTGCGAAGGAAACAGACTGAGTAGAAAAAAACACAGGAGCTGGCTAGAGTCGTTGATAAACTGATAATCCAGGGCAGTAACTTAAGGCAGAGCACAAAAAAGACGAGGAGAATAACTAGTGATAACGAAGAGTGTAGCAAAGGGACAAGAACGAACTGGCAAGTGAATGAGAGGTGAACCGGGTATAAGTAACAAACAATCTAATCAGGTGCAGCTGGTGATAAAGGAGTGAGGAACAGGTGAATGTGATCAATAATCAGGGGCGAAGAGACAGAGTAAGAAAGGTGAGAGAAGCAAGCGCAGCCAGGCAAACCTGACAATATGAAATTAAACTAAATAAAACATAGTAATAACTAAAGGCATTCAAACTGTTATAAAAATGGATCAGATGAAAACTGATGATAGCAGAAACCTTTAAGTATTGTTCTGAGCCATTAGATGATCACACTGATTGATTGCTCAGCTCCCTGACGCCAAGTGGGATATGTGATGACATTAGTAGATAAGCAGCTGGTTTGGGAAGAAGCTGTCGCTGGTCATCACTGCTGACCTTAATACCGTGCGTGTGGATCAAGGCTATGATCTTCAGCAGCTGGGTTTATCGTCTGACAGCTGGCACTCAAACACAGCTGTACACGCAGCTAGCAGTACTGATCTGACCCACATAGGATAACACACAAACACAGACTAAACTAACATGTATCTCTGTGATACACAGTGTATATGAGTGAATGAAAACACTTTCAACATCTGCTGGAAAGACAGGGTCACAATCACGTGTTCAGTTACTTTTGGCTGTATACAGTGCCTTGCGAAAG